CTTGATAACTTTCGGCACGTCAATCAGAAGGTCTTGAATTGATTCCAACTTCGGTTCCCTAAACTTTATGGAATTTGTGCTTCTCTTTCTTAGATCAGCCATTGAGTTCACCAATACCTGAGATAATCATAGCTTCTTAAGTCTCTTGGTATGAAAAATGATATGCAGTGCAATGTTTTATGAATGCATATGATAATAGAACGCATCAAGATCAAAGTCACAAATCCTGCAAGACAACATCAAAAAGGCAGCTTCCCTAACGAGTGGGCAATCTACTGGTGTACAAAAGGGTATTCCAAAGGCTTTTCAAACAAAGTCCCATGTACTAACCCTCAAAAGTTTCCCATCATAACGACTACTCGTAAGACGGTAATCCTTTCAAAAGGATGAACACAGAGTTATGTTTTAGCAACCTTCGGAATAAGGTTCTACAAAAGGTCCTCAGAATCGCGGACTCTCAAGTTGAAGATAAGAACGCCGTTACGACTACACGTAAGACATAATTATTCCAACGGAGTCTCATCTGAGCGGTGAGATTCAATCCAACTCAACGAGTCCTAAGTCTCGCAAATCAGAAAGAATCCACCTCCTAACTTAGTGTGTATGCTTGAAAGCTTCATCCTCACAAACCAAATCAAATAAACCCAACAGTTAGAGAATAAAGCATAAATAAATAAAACAAGTAAAAACTCAAACACGATAAACAAAATAGGCTTGGCTCGCTAGGGTGTCCCCAGCAGAGTCGCCAGCTGTCGCTACTCGAAAAATGCAACGACGGGGAGGCGAAAAGAAAGGACAGAAGAGTCGCCACCGAACTTTATTTATCCCATGAGGGGAAAGGAAAATATCGAGAAAACTTTAAGAAAATAATGGATAAGATGGTCTCGCAACCATGAACGGGTTCGGAAGCCGGTTATGCGAGGGGAAGGTATTAGCACCCCTCGCATCCATCGTACTCGATGGGAACCTTTTGTTTGTCGTATGTGTAATTATATCTGCTTAACTATTATGCTATAAGAAGTGTTCCACTGGGTAAAAGAAGGGTTAGAAACATGAAAGCTAGGGGGAAAGAGAGAACGGGTAAGAAAAGAGAAAGAACAGACTCGGTAGAACTTCGCAGTCCTATGCCTACGTATTCTCAATAGATGTGAGAAAGTCAGAGTCGACGTAGTTCGGGAAACTACAGATATAGGGGGAATGTGCTCGGTAAGGATTGTGGCCCTTGTGCCTACGTATCTTTACTTGAGCAAAGTAAAGAATCAGAGCAGCCGTAGTTCGGCCTACGGTTTGTTGATGTTTTTTTATGGATGATGCTATCGTGCGCATTCTAGCAGTTAGGTGTTTCGCTGCTCGCTCGTTGGAGACTTAGGCGTTACCTGTTTGCGGTAGAACGGACGTAACATATCCTTTTTGAAAGATTGATTAGTTTTCGCCACGCGAGGCAAGAAGTCACGTTTGATTGATTGGATTGTTTTTAGGGGGCGAGATAGGTCCTCGGATAGTAACCCCTACGGGTAGTACCCAATTCGTTATCTCAAAGTTTTTGTTATAAAAAGGTGTGGCGAATGAGGCGTCTTTGTATTGAAAGACGAGCGTCAAAACCACCCTCACTACAGTGGGCATCCCAACGCTCGGAGAAGAAGAGGTCTACACCCAATCCTCTCTCTTTAATTCAACATAAAGAGAGCTTCGTTCTCTTATTAAGTGTTTTGGGTTTTGAATGGTAAGTGCTTTGCGACAGAGAATCCTACGGTAAACGTCAGCACTCGGGATAGGAGAAGGCCTACGCCTAACCACTCCACGACCATTCAAGTTTTTGTTATAAAAATGATTTGAAAATGTACTCGGTACGGGACCGAGGTTTTTAGGTGACAAGGGTTGCGGGATGAAGTTGTGAAAGTGAGAGGTGGTGGACAAAGAAGCATCTTCGTATTGAAAGACGAGTATCGAGACCACCCTCACTACAGTGGGCATCCCAATATTCGGAGAAGAAGAGGTCTACACCTGATCCTCTCTTTTTAATTCAATACAAAGAATATGATTTAAAAATGTTTTCGAAGATACACTCGGCACGGGACCGAGGTTTTAGGAGGAAGGGTTTGAAAATGGACTCGGTACGAGACCGAGGTTTTAGGAGAGGTGGTATGGAAACGTCTTCGTATTGAAAGACGAATATCAAGACCACCCTCACTACAGTGGGCATCTCAACATTCGGAGAGGAAGAGGTCTACACCTAATCCTCTCTTTTTAATTCAATACAAAGAATTGATTTTAAGGAGATGAGATTTGAAAATGGATGGGAAGCGTCTTCGTATTGAAAGACGAGTGTCGAAACCACCCTCACTACAGTGGGCATCCCAACACTCGGAGAGGAAGAAAGTCTACACTTAATCCCCTCTTTTTAATTCAATACAAAGATAATTGAATTTTGAATATGGTTTGTCAATGCTTTTGAATCGAGTTGGAACAAGTGACGAAGAGAGAAAAGAGGTGGTCTCAGATCCAACATTACTTATCAATAATTTGACTGGTAATGAATTACAGAAGTGTCTTCATCGACCAAAACGAGGAAATAAATCCTCAAACAAAAAGAAAATGCTAAGATCTAACTTCTATGAAAATATATTTAAGTTCTTAAAATTAAATCAAAAAAAGAAACTATTTACACAATTTTCTAAAAAAAAAGTTAGATTTGAAAATGTATATACATAAATCTAAAAACTAAATATTTAGAAAAACTAATATATATAAATATCATAAAAAGTAAACTCTAAAAAATTAATTAATGAAACTTTAAAACTAATTTAAAAATATGTTAACAAATCTTTTAAAACTAGTTAGAGAAAAAATTTACAATCTAAAACTTATTTTAAAAATAATTATAAAACTTCTTTTTAAAAAACTACATAAAAAAAAATATTACAATTATTAAAAACTAACTTAGAGAATATATTAAAATCTAAATCTAAAAAAGAGGTTTGGGCCCATCACTATGAAACTCAGATTTTACTAATACTATATTAAAAAAAACTAACAAAAAAAGGATTAACATTCACGTTAATTTCAATTAACATAATGTTATGGCATCAACAACTGTGAGCAAACAGTGGAGAAAAGCCCATTTGTGACCAAAACGAATTAAGTACTTTGTGTGAGGTTTGTGATATTCTGCCGCCGCCGATGATGAATCTCGATGCGACGGAGGTGGTGCATTCACAGCAACGTTCTTTTGAGAGAAAAATAGGAGCGTTTGTGTTTGGTTTTACGTTTTGGGTGGGGAAACGGTGGAGAAATCTGGGTTGCAAAAAATGGGTGTTGACGGTTGAGGTTCACGGGTGGATTCACTGTGGGTTTTGCGTGGAAGAGGATGGATTGCATTTTTGTTTTGTTGTTTGGCTGTGAAAGTGAAATGGGTTTTCGTTTGTAGGTTGGTTCGCGGTTGAAACGGGTTTGAGGGTAGTGGCTGTGGCGGTTGCTTGCAGAGAAGGTTGAAAAGATGATACTCAAGACTGAGTTCTGGATTTTCGTTTATGAGATTGGGAGGGCTTGAAGGTGGTGTTCGAAGACGAAGTGAGATTTCTGGAAATTTTCACAGTGGTCGTTTGTGTCCGAAAATGGTTAGGGTCAGGGATGGGTATTGAAGCTCTGAGGTTTGTGAGCGGATCTCCGGGTTAAAGGTTGAAGTTTCCAGCGGTGAAGATGAAGAGTGATGAAGTTGATGAGGTTTAAAGGCTTAAGGTTTGTTTCTGGGTTGAAGTTGTTCTATGGTAAAAGATGAAGGTGAAGCGAAATGATAACGGCGGCGAGTTTGCGTTTTAAAGGAACAATGGGGAAAAGGCTATCGCTGATGGGAGTTTTCTGGTAAAGATATTGTAAGGTGAGTTTGAGAGTGTGAGTTGATGTTCGGAGGTGAACCGGTTAGGGTTGGAGAAGAGTGAGTATGAAAAGGGATGAGGTTGTTGAAGGTAGAAGAGAAACGATATTTCTGCGGCTAGGTTTAGTGTCCCCTCTATCCACAACAACCCACTGCCTCTCTCTCTCGAAGGCTTGCCACCAGAAAACGAAGTGACAATAGTTTAAGATTATGAAGACAGAAAAGACAATAGAATACTTACAGAGCTGGAGCGAATCCGACAGGTTCTCGCGCTAGTGATGAGGAGTTTGGATGATGCAAAGCTTCTTGTTGAACTGATACCACCAGATTGTCAATACCGAAAGCAGATAAGCTCCTTCTTCAATCTCTCTCTTTTCAGTTCTTTATGTGTGTCTTGTGTTATGATGAAGGTGAGTTGTGAGAGAAGGCAGCCGTTTTTTTTTAGAATCCTTTCTCTCCTCTCCAACATCAAGCCTTTATAGTAAAGTCAATTAGGTTTAGCAGACCAACCCTTGAGGCTCTGAAATCCTCTGCACCTTAGGTTTTAGGTTTGGTCTGCTACTAATCTGTCCTATTCCCATTTCTGTGTTAAGACTGTGGTGCTGTAATTGCCTACTGCTGCTCTGTATTTGCCATTTTTGTGAATGTGTCTCTGCTGTCTTATTTTCATGTCCCTGAATTTGTTCATTTAAATTGAAAATATCTGATATTTTTACTCTGAATTTTTACTGCTTCATTTGTGATTTTTACTGCTTTGATTTATGCTGATGGGGCAATTTGTTGACTTCAAATGCAATCTGACTTTGGCTTTTTACTTTCAAATATCCACTAAACTTGACATGCTTGTCATATTTTGCAGGGAATTACCGATCAATGAAATTGTTATGGGATAGGTTCACTAAAACTAGTTCGAACAGCAGGGAAAATATATGCACACAAGTGGCTCTTAGTTTAAGAAGTTTCAACACTAACAAAGAAATTCAAACCTCAAATGACAATTCTGATACAAAGACCAGCCGACCAGCCAAGATGCATTCACTGCTTCCATAATACCACTAACTAGCACAATGACCATAAAGAAGAAAAAAAGCATCAAGCTACCCGATACAAATAGCCAGTTAATTTCCTACTGCCTCGTACTTTTACCTTGTGCCGCAAGTTTTGCAGCAACTTGCTCTTCAGACAAAGGTAACCAATAGATACGAGGAGTTGCTGTGGTTTTGCGGAAGAGGTCATCCAGAGTGACAATAGGTGGTTCCACTTTCTCAGGAAGGGGTGGTGGCGATGGAAGTCGTTCCCTTGTTGGAACACTGTTTACAGAGGCAGTTGGAGTAGGAGGAGCTTCTAGCTTCATTTTCACTTCTTCAGGATCAACATACTCTGCAACCAAGAGCCGCCCACCATTTGGAGGCCATTGCAAATTGTACACAGCATTTCGTGTCTCAACAGCCTCTTCGGTGGACGAGTAAGTAACATAGCAATGAGTCTTTATTTGGTCCATCCAGAAACTGCTGACACTCCCAGTTTTGCCAAGAAGTTCTTGCACTGCTTTTAGGGTAAATGGACGAAGGAATTGATCAATCCTGAGGGAATTAGTTGGGGTCCTTCATGATGGAGGAACAATGCGTTCTCTAGGTGTATCATCAGTTGCTGAGGAACTAGACCTAGAAAAGCTGCGCTTCAGAGTAATTTGTCCATCCTTGGGTGTAATGACGGGTCTGGGAGTAGTGCCTTGCAGATCTGACCCTTTAATAGTATCAGTGTTCCACCTGCGTTGCCTTTTTGCAGGCTCATTATTTCTGACTAATGTTTGTTCAGGCTATTTTCGCTTCTCAATCAAGGAAACAGGACTAATGTCAATATCTTGATGGGTATCGCTTTTTCTTGCGGATACACCATCTCCCTCAACCATTGGCTTGCTATCTTCATCGACTATAGGAACTTCATTATTCTCGACTTTGTCCCTAAGTTCATCAACATTAAACTTAGAATCATATTGCCTAGTCTCAGGCAAGTCCTCTTCCATGGAATCATCACCAGAACCTCTGTCCAAGTTCAACTTTTCTGGATACCCTACATCATCACTACTATTGGTTTTGTTCAACTCTGAACTTTGTAACATTGTTGTTATTTTCTTCAACATGTGACTTTTTTCATGCATCCCTCCACCAACATCCGTTGAATGCGAATGTGATTCATCATAAACAGGTACGTCATTTCTGGATGATGGTTCTTCCACCATCTCTGGCCTAACATTATCTTGTTCTAATTTGCCATTATTAGCAATTATAGTATCCTTTAGTTCATTCTTTTCATTAATTGACACAGAATCAGTAGAAAAAGAATCAGATTTTACTTGAGACCCTGAACTAGGGTTGACCTCAGATACCTGGTTTTCTGGAGCAGAAGAGATGGGCATGAGAACGTCACAGGTAGGCTTCGGGTCACACTCCAGCTGGAGCTTTGACTCCTCACTAGTCAGCTGCACCCTTGATTCCTCATTCTCTAGCTTGGTAATGTTGGATTTATCCTAGTGTATTAGACACGTTTCTGCATATTGCTCTGAAGAATATTTATCACCATGTCTTGACTTGCATAAGTTTTAGGATTAATTTACTCTATCATGTTTGTTATTTTCAGGCTTTGATTATGAGCACAGTATGGAAGGGAATCCGGCGCGTATACGCTAACTACATGGAGGTTGAAACACTACATCGCGCTTTTAGGAGGTGGATTTTGCCACAATATCTAACTTGTTGATGACATTCTGGGCCTGTTATAATGACAGGTGTTGCAGGACTCATTCTCAAACTATTGCATCTCAAGTCCATCCTCAGGAACAGAGTAATCACATGCAGCAAAGCTTCTCTTTTTTTTTTTGTGAAATATTTGTAATGAAGTTCTTCAATGCCTTGTAGTTTTCTGATTTTGCTATGTAATCTCCCTCTCAATTCTGTTGTGAACGAATTATTACCTTGAAGATATGAACTTTCTAATCAAACATGAATCCTGAGGCAAGCATGAGTCACTCCTCTTTTAAAGCATGAATTGTCATAATTTGCACAAATTTAAAATAAATCCAACCATGACTTATCTCGCTTAATTCTCATAACCTCAATACTTATCTAAGGATGTGGCTCCAAGAATATTGGAACACCAAATCAAAGATATTCCAAAAATCTCTTAAAAACGATTAACCATGCCCTGAAAGGAATCAAACCTATCACTTGAATCAATCATCTCTAACCCTTAATCATGAAATAAAATTCGCCAAACCAAAATCAAGTCAAACCTGACTGATTTCCAACCTTTACCGGGCCCACACATTGATACACTCATCCCTTAAATGAACCTTAACCAAAACCTATCCAATTCAGCTCAATCTTATGATGGAAGCAACATATATTTTTTTTGATTTTTCTGCCCCTGACAATCACATATGCTTATCTGTTTGTCTTCAAGGACCTTGACTTGTCTCTGATAAGGGTAACCACTTGGTGACTTGAATATAACCTCCTTGATCAGGTTAAAAACCATTGGTAATTTTTTGTTAGACACACATTTCTTGATCCCCTGTGAAATGCAAAATGCTATGCAATGCAATGCTTATGTATATGCTGATGCAATGAAATAAAACATAAGCCAGAGAGGTCGGTCAAATTTTGGGGTACAACAGTTCCCTGTTCAAACCTCAACCATAGGATGAATCCATGGCATGATAACAGTAGGACTTGATAGTCTCCCTCCTAGTTGGGCCTGTTCTCTTCTCATCTCAAAACAGTTTAAGATACAGTAATCATGAATGATTTCTTTCGTACGTTACGAGCCTTAAGCTATCTGAGAAAGGATTGTGGGAGAGTTTCTTTTCCACAGTCTGAATGTTTAGTATGGTACCCTTTGGGTGACATGCGACGCATTCACTCTCAGGTCATAGTCTCTAGTGCGGTTGAAATCGCAAACACAATAAAAAACACTTCTTTCGTAAAAGACAGGAAATAAACCGTAGTTTCCCGAACTACGTGAGCTCTGATCTCTCATACCTGTTGAGAGTACGTAGGCACAAGATGGCGATGTCTTGGCGAGCTACCCTTCGTAGGCCGAACTACGTTGACTCTGAGTTCTCGTTCTCTGATGAGAATACGTAGGCATAAAGTGCGACGCTTTGCCGAGTCATTTTTCTTTTCTTTTTCAGCCGGCCTTGATAGGTAGATAGATAAAACCAACCCGTCCAAGTAAACACAACAAGCGTGGATCCCGTCGAGTACGACGGACGTGAGGGGTGCTAATACCTTCCCCTTGCGTAACCGACTCCCGAACCCAGACAATGGTTGCGATGACCTTGTCTTACCCTTTTTCGTCAGGTTTTTCCGATTGTTTCCTTTCCCGCTCTGAGGGATAAATAACGAAAGGTGGCGACTCTTTTGTTGCGTCGGCACCTTATTTTTGCGAAAGCGACAGCTGGTGACTCTGCTGGGGATCGAACCCAAAATCTCTGGTTTTCTGGTTCCCTTTGAGAGTCAATCCTAACGCTTGTATGTTTACCTGTTGGGTTGCGTTTATTTATCGCATTTTACTTTTCGCACTTTATTTCCCGCATTTTATTTTCAGTATAATATGATTGTTTATGCTGTTGTGGGATGGGAGTTCTGATGAGTGAGAAGCCAGACCCAGGCTTGAGTGCACCATAGACTTAGAGTGGAAATTAGTGGGCGCGTGCTTGCTTTGCAGGCACTAGTGTCTCATGAAATCCACGCTCAGACTAGGTTCATCTGGTTGGCTTCACTTTCAACCCTTTGGGTTGAGACGGTTGCTGGTTTGGTGGATTGTCGACTCTGGGGACCGATCATTTGTGATTCAACTAAGTGAGGCCGCTTCATGAGCTGGTGATGCCACACCTTCTGGGTATCGTATCACCCCTCTTGAAAGTCTGTGACGCTGATGAACGCATAGGATGTCATACCTTGAGTCAGTTTAGGTCCATACCTGTGAGTGGGATTGGGTTTATTGCAAGAAACTTTGACCTTCAGACTACCTGGTTTTCTTGATAGTGAATCAGTTGTGTTGGTACCAGGGTTTCTCAGTTGCAGATTTGTCTGTTCTTGATAGAGCAGGTTTGGATCAGAGGATCTTATCATCAGGTGTATGTCTGTTCTTGATAGAGCAGGTTTTGATCAGAGGATCTTATCATCAAGTGTATGTCTGTTCTTGATAGAGCAGGTTTTGATCAGAGTATCGTCATCAGTTGTTTGTTCTTGATAGAGCAGATTTTTGGGGTCTGAAGATCTCATCAGCAGATGCCGTTTGTTCTTGATAGAGCAGATTTTGAATGGGGTCTGAAGATCTCATCAGCAGGTGTTGTTTGTTCTTGATAGAGCAGATTTTGAGTGGGGTCTGAAGATCTCATCAGCAGCTGTATGTTTGTTCTTGATAGGGCAGATTTTTGATTTGGGGTCTGAAGACTTCATCAGCAGATATTTCTTGATCATACATCCGAGGTCCTTATTATCAGACATTTGTTCTCGACAGAACAGAATTTTGGTCCTATGTATATGGTCCTATCAGATGATTGTTCTTGGCAGATCAGATCGGTGGTCTTACACCAGGGTTTTCTTCTTATCGGTGGTTGTTCTTGACAGAGCAGCGTCATGGTTTTGTTGATACAAAATCTCCACAACAGCAGTTACCTGGATATATTATTGCATGACTGCATTTTGCATTAGTTCGCATATTCATTTTGCATTCCATTAGCAGGTGTTTGTGCTGCAGGCGCATTTCGTACCCTGATTCTGGTGTCCCGAGCAATATGAGATATTTTCTTCCATGAATGGATCCAGTCTTATCACTGCATTGACACTATGTTGGCACGTTGACACCAGAATTAGGGGTGATCTCCTAAACGTACAGACACTCATGGCATTAGCATAATTCATCTTGCATGGCAGAAGCCGGGGCTTGTCTTCTAATCCTTGTGTTTGAAGGTTTGAGCCAGAATCGAGCAACTCAGACTAATGGAGCAGGTACAAGCTGAGTTGGGGAAAATCCAAAGCCAGTTGGGGCAGGTCATGAACGACATACAGGCAGTGCGCCTGGACCAGCAAGTACTCAGAGAAGAGAATCAGCAGCTGCAAAATCAGTTGAGCTTTCTCATGGGAGTGGTGAGAAGTATGCTAAAAAAGGAGAGTGGTCCAGCACCCGAGGTGGTGACCAAAGTGCTTCCTTCATTGCCGTCAGTGCCACCTGTGCTGAAGCCAAGCGGACCTCATGGATCCTCTACACAGCATGAAGCTAGAAACCTGTCTCGTCAGCAGCCGCGCCAGGCATCTCAGAATAACCCTGAAGGTCATAATCAAAAGAAGAAGCTACTTGATAGAGCTGTGGACCCAATACCTGTGAGTTATGCCCAGTTGTTGCCACTGTTGGTTCAGAACCATGTTCTCAAGCTTCGTACTTTGGATCCACCGGATGACGTGTCATCAGACTTTGATCTCAGCACACATTGTG